CCCCAAAACCCCAAAACCCCAAAACCCCAAAACCCCTTTAGATTTATCGCGGCTATAAATATTTAATATGAACCTTATGTTTACAACAAATGTACCAAAATTCCAGAGATGTTTCTCGCAAAAAGTCATTGTACTTAGCGGAATGACTGGGATTGGCAAAACCAGCTTCACTCAGCAGTTGAAAAAAGAAGTCAACGGTGAAATAATATGAGCGGATTCTAGTCAAATTTATAAAGGACTCAAAGTCCTTACAAATAAAGAGAGAATGGAAGATGGCAAATATGCACATCTTACAGCTAAATGGAACCATCAGGATAAAGTAACAAGTGCAAGGTATGCCTTAGAATGAAGACAGAAAATTAAAGAGATTTTCCAAAGAGGTAAAACCCCAATCCTTGAGGGTGGCTCTGGCTTTTACATCCAATCTGTATTCAACAGAAAATTGCTGACTCCTAAACCAAACTTTGAGCAAGCTAAACTTGAAGCAGAGAGAATTTTAGAGAAAAATAACTATGATTATAAGGTTTTACAGAAATACGATCCTGAAAATTACCTTTGAACTAACCCTCAGTTTAGTAAATACAAGTAAGTTTTATGATAAACCCATAGATTGGTGAATTCCTTAGCAATAGTTCTCTCATTCAACCCTCATGATGGGACTGAAAGTCCTTCGCAGCCCCCATTGTCTGAACTCATCAAGGAAGCAGAAGATGATCCAGATAATATTTACTTCAGCCAGATTCCAAAAAGGTGTTTTTATCTTTGTAAGTTCTCAAACAATTGATGATAAATTATTGTATTTCTCCAAGCCAGGTTTTTATTGAACTCTTTAAAAATGCATAATCTCAGGTATTTTGCAAACTAGCTTCAACTAAGAGTTGGTTGATCTAAACAACTTAATTTTCTAGATAACACTGACAAATTCCTCGTAAATGAGGCCCTAGATTACAGATGTGAAAATATGATTCTTAAAAATAACTTATTTCAGGAGGTCCTTAACTATTGTCATCAAGTAAGACAGTTTCTGGAACATCATTGCCAGATCTCTTTCACGAATCCTTCAGAAGCAACCTCGGCTGTAAAGTATAAGGTGACTTTTAGTTATCATACCAAGAATCTGAGTTTAAAGATATCCTAAGTTTATATGACCCTCTAAAAGAATCAAGTATTTCGCCACTGATAGATTTTAGGTATCAGCCAGATTAAGGAGATGTACCCTGTCACTCACTCAATCGGTTTCTTCCAAGTTCTAAAGTACTTCCATAGGCTCAATAGCCTCGAGGCTATTGATGGCGAGGTAATAAAGGAATTTAAGTAAGCTCTGAAGTAATTCCATAGGGCTTTCTTAAGAGAATTCAAAACTGCGAATCATCAATATGTTAAAAGGTAGAAAACTATTTGAGTAAAAATTAAAGCTTGGTCAGATGGGAGAAACCTGGGACCATGAGGACCAGGACTTATCTCAGTTGATTACTTGGGGGTTATATATTAAGATGACTTGTTTTATTGAAATTAATTCATCCATAGGCAAAATACTTGGTTCAAGAGTTCTAATAGAGATCCTCCTTTCTATAAAATTGAAAAACTGCCGAACGAAAATACAGGAGTTATGGAACAAATCTTACCTCTAATCACTTGCTCTGAAGATGAATATTTATCGAAACTTGCACAAAACTTTAAAGAACCTGATTTCCCACAAGAACCTCCCAGTAATCCCCTATGTCACCCTTCTAGCTCAGAATTCCAGTGACGATTTTGAAAATTTTATGAACGCTCAGAAAACTCTCAAGGACTCAAAACAGTTAAAACAAAAGATGTATGAGCCTAAATCTAAAATTCTGCGCAATGAGTACAAACTCAGCCGAGCTATGGTACGCTTCCTTCTTCATGTATAGTATTTGAGTCAGAAGGCAGCCCAGAGGTACAAAGAAATGACTGGAAATTGTTATTAAATACTTAAAATATCATAATAAAATCTTGGGGTTTTGGGGTTTTGGGGTTTTGGGGTTTTGGGG